AAATTTAAGTTTGATTTTGATCCTTAGATGCTAATTAAGCTTAAGGGAAGCTTAATTTGCTTTAAAGCAACAAGATGAAGGGTGTGGGAAGAATTAAAGATTAGGAGTTCTTGAATGGAATTTTGAAATAGAGTTTATATTTGAAATCAGAGGTTGAATTTGACTTGTCATCGACTTAATTAAGACATACGAAGTGTTAGAATTAAATTTAGAACATGTGGGAATTTGAGTGAGATTCTTAAATTCTATGTGGAGGAATGGATTTTTAAGTTTAAGAGATATTGAATGTGTATTAATTAGTTTAAGTAGGTGTATGCAAGTTAAGGATATAAAAAGAGGTGAAATATGAAGTGTTGAGAGGATTATGAATGGATTTTCGTGCTAAAATAACATTTCCTGGCTATGTGCATTGATGCACATTCAATGTGTACTGATGCACTCTCAAATAAATGAACATCGAATGTCATTAGTGCATCGATGCATAAGGAGTTCATCGATGCATAAGGAGTGCATCGATGCACCTGCTTAAAATACAAACATCGAATGGGATTTGTGTACCGATGCACAGGTAGTGCATCGATACACCCGTTAAGGAATGCATCGATACACTATAGAGTGCATCGATGCATACCTTCATTAAAAGATGAAAATAGCTTTCTTTTAGCCTAAGGAGTGATAGTTTAGAATATATCAATTAGTATACTGATATGTATCAATGTATTACTATGTAGATTTAGAAAGTAATCTCGTTCCAGAACAATCAAAGGATTAGAATTGAGTCAAAGTAAGGCTAAGGTGAATGTTTATCTCATATGAAATGGAATTGAGATAAGACTTGCGATAAGTCTATCTCTTATCATTGAATTTATGATTCCATATTCATGCACGTGCATATATATATATATATATATATATGTTAACGTTATAGTGATTCCATGCATTTTTCATACATGATATTATACGAATGAATGCAATTATTAGAGAATCCTTCCAGATATGTGAAATAATGGAAATGATCGTATGAAGTGGTTTATGTGTTTACATGGACAGTGATGAAAGAGATGTGAAATGAGAAATGTAATTATAATTAAGCCCATGTTATTTAATATGAGAGCTGTAGGTATAATTGGCATGCCAAGAGTCGAGGGATTAGCAGTGGTCATTCGGGACATATCGTGGTCCTTCAGGACATAGTGGTCTTTCGGGACAAATATTCAGTGCCTCTAGTGGGATTTTATTCGAGCTGTGGTGACAGCATTGTGCACAACCTCAGTGTACTCGTGTACCTTCTGTTCTCAATAATGTATATGGGCAATCCAAAGATAAATTAAAGTGAAATTAGCATGAGAATGTATGTGTTATATGTACATGTTATCATCATATATGTTATAGTGTAATAGATACATGAAAGTTGAAATATCTTGATCAATGATAAGAATGCATGTTCATAAATCACTTAGCGTGTAAGTGATTTAAACATAGGTACCAAGAATCAAGAAGAGCAGAAATAGGGTGGCAAGAACAACAACACTGCTAGAAGATCAGATCAGAAGTAACTGATAAAGTATGTATTTTGTCGTGTATAGTATGTTGGCATGTTAGAAAAGTGTCGGTTATGAATGCTCTGATCGATTTTGGTTGTTTTGGTCATTTCATGTAAATAAACCGCTTTTATGTTAATGAAAGTTTTAAATTTTTATTGAATTTTGTCAAGAGTCAAAGTTTGAAAAGTCAATGTGACACCTCATACTCTTATTCGGGTCAGATACAGGTTGAGGGTGTTACAGATAATTACAATAATGTCTCTATATATTTTTTTCAATTAATTTTTTATTTTTATCGAATAAAAATAATATTTTTTAATAAATATATTATTTCAAGTCGGGTTGACCGAAAATCTGACCCAACCCATGCCCATCCCTAATTAAGACGAAACATTTTTTCGATATAGTCTAAAAAAAATCAATATTTATTGTTTTTGTTGCTTTCTTGATTTTTTGAATTTTTTCCTGATTAATCCAGATCGATTCGTGTCACATACCTAATTTTGATGGATGGATCTTCTAGCGAGAATTTCTACATACACAATGTTTCAAACTCGAAACTTATTTATGCAATATCGAACTACTTATTACTTGAACCAACTCTTATTAATAATATTTATCATTTTTAAATTGTATTTGTAGTATCAAATTTTGTTTGTTAAGCTCGGATCTAATCTTCTTAAAAATAAACTTTCAGCCCACACTAAACCTATACTAATTCAAACCAATAACTTATTCGACCTAATAAGACCAAATTATAAACCCTAAACCCTAAAACCTATTTAACCCATTTAAGTCCAAATCATCTCAAAATTTACGCTCATTTTAAGATATAATTGTCATTAAAATTATTTTTATTTAAGAGATAACATAACATTCTTCTGAATGTACCATTTATTTTTGTGGTGGGGGTGCTATAATCTTCTACTTATGCAATCGATTTCTCGAATTCAGTTATGATCTTAATGGAAGTGCATGTCAGATCTAGGGATATTCGGTCATATTCAATCCAAACCGATTGATATCAGCTTCAGTCATGTGACGATTTTTTTAAAGACCCGATACATTTGAACCATCAAAAGATGACTTAATAGTAATTTTTAATATAATCAACTAATGTTTGAACTTTTTAGCATTATAGTGTGGTTTTATGGAAAGGTAGGGAAATGCCTCTCTTGTCGTTAGTCTAGATTTCACATACACGGATAAATACATTATTAGTTTTTTTTAATGTTAAATGATAACATTAAGAGTGTAATTGGAAAATAAGTAAATGTTATTTTTTTTTATTTTTTATTTTATTTCAAATACGTGAATTTACTTTATATTGATTTTTTATAAAAAAATTTAATTGTTAAAAATATGTAAAATGTGATAAAAATTGAAATTAAAATAAAAAATGTAATATTATATTATTTATTATATAAAAAATAATATCAGGTTAAAACTAATAAATATTATATTTGGTTGCACTTATAACATATAAGAAATAATAAATTATATAAAATGTTTAAGTAAAATGGTCACTTTTGTCCCAATAGTATACTCAATTTATCATTTTTGCCCATGTCGTATTTTTCACATAAATTTAGCTCTCAAAGTTGCTAAGTTACATTATTCTATACCCTACCCCTCACTTAAAAATCCTAAATCGAGGGTTTTAAGTTGGAGCTTAGGGTTTAAGGTTTAGAGAATATGGAGTTATAGTTTACAGTTTAGGGTTATAAATTTAGGGTTTTAAGTTAAGGTGATATATAGAATGATTCAATTAAACAACTTTAAAGGCTAAATTGATGTGAAAATTTTGTAGAAATTAAAATGATATATTAAAAATACTACAAGAGCAAAAGTGACACTTAAACTAAATATTTATAGAAATATGGTTGATAATGATTGATGGAATTAAATCATAATCAATATTCAAATCAAAATCTAATATCTAATATCTAATAATGACAAATCATTAATAATAAATTTATTTTTTTACGAGAGATACCTAAATACATAGTTGAAGATCATCTAAAACGTTGAAATCTTTCAAGAGGGTATGGTTTCTTTTTTTGTATAAAAATGTTCTCTACCGAAATGAAATTAACTTATTTCTTAATGGTCACTATATCTATATATAACTAAATATTAAATCAAGTTTTAGGTATTTATAATTTTATTTTTCACCAAATTACAAACACAACTTATATATTTGTACTTTGTTTCTACGACACTTTAATATTTATGACACGGTTAATGAAATTGATAACTTAATTTTAGTTTTGTATCATATTTTATAATTACATTATAGATTATACATATGTAGTCCTGGCCCCCTTAGTTGTTCTTAGTGTAGTCCTGGCCCACTTAAGAAATTATAACTTATTTTATGTTTAATTTATTTTGCATAAAAATAAATTCGGGGAAAACATTTGTTTGATGCGAAATTAATAAACCATTCTAAACTAATTCAATAAATGAAAATAAGTATATAAAACAATGGAAAAAATTAAAACAGTAAAACAGTAAGTACACAATTTTTAAGTCAGTTTTTGTTATATTCAAATATATATTATTGTATTAATGAAAAATATATTTTAATATTTATTTAATAATGTTTATTTTAATATTCTAGTAATCATACTCAATTTTTGACTTTTTATTATTAATATTTACATTAAAATGTGATTTTATAGTATTATTCAATAATAAACAAGAGACATTAAAGAAAGTAAATAAATAAAACGCTATCTTTCTCTCTCTCTTAAGTCTGAACTCGGTGTTTGGTTTAAGTATATTCCTATGTTTGGTTGGTTGGAAATTTCATTCTCGGTAATGTTTTATTACTAATAGTAGATTTTTTGGGTATATTATCGGGAAATGTCATTACTTCCATTCCCTTAGGTATTGTAACATTGTAGCATTTTGGACTAAAATGCCCTTAATTTTTTATATTTTTTTCAAAAATATCATTCTTCTGTCATTGAATAATAAAAATTATACGAAGATAAATTATAAATTTATCCTTAAATTATTTTAAATTTACAAAAAAATCTATAATTAAAATTTTATATAAAATTCAGGAGTTAAATTTTTTTTTACCTTTTCATTAAACATTTTTTATATTTTTAATTTTGTAAAAAAATTATATAAATATTATAAATTTAATTTTTAAAAAAAATATATAAATATTTTACAATTTGTAATATTATACAAATATATAATAAGGATAATTTAGTCAAATATACATTTCAATAATCTTTTATTCCTTTAACCAAACACGGTAATCTTACAATTTTATTAAATCAACCAAACAAAAAATACAACATTCTTAATAATCTTATTATCTGATAATATTTTATTCTCCCTTATCCGTGAACCAAACTCTAAAGTCTTTCTCTTCTTTTCCTCTCGGTTTCCTCTTCACAATATAAAATCTATTTTATTCTCACAAATAAAAAACTTTTCCTTCTTATTGTTCATTGTCATCGTCATCCTAGAGAAGAAATAATTTCATTTTAAAAAAAATGTCTGCTTGGTGGGGTAAAAAGCCGAGTAAGAGCAAAGAAGAGAGTCAAAATCGAAGTCCACGGGGTACCAGCCTCGGAGTCACCCAGCTTTCGCCTGCCACTGCTGGCGTTTCCACTGGCGGCGGTTCTGCTGGTAAAATGAAAGCAGCAGCCACCGCCGCCGATGAAAAGAACCACAACAACAACTACCCAAAGCAGGGTTTAAAAACGGTCCGCGACCGAGATATAGTCCGCGTTTCGCCGCTGTCCGCGTTACCCGCCGTAATAGCGTCCTCGACGGCCGCAATCGCGATAAATCCGAAATAACCGAAAATGCTACCTGACCAAAAGCTTTGATAGTGGAGGAGGCCTTGTTTTAACCACCGGCAATTCGCCATGTGCCAGCAAGGACTTCAGCGTTGTTGGTTGGACATCTGGGTTTTCGGTTTCGATTCGGATTCAGGGGAAAAATTAGGGATCCCTTTGCCTACACCATCTGTTTCATCGATGCAAAGTGATCATGTTGTCGGGTTAGGATTCGGGTCGCCTTCGGATTTAAGTGATAGCTCTTCTGACGATAATCAGCTTGCAAATGATCCGGTTCAATTCAAGGCATACAGGTTCTTCTTCTCCCTAACATGTATTGGAATCTGAAATTTGAAAGATGAATTTTTTAATATTAAAATTTCTGAATTAATATTGGGTTAGTTACTGTTTTTTATTATATATAAAGCAGTTGCTGACTAATTAATAAAAATGTGTTTTTTCTGTCTTTTCTTGGGTGTCAGGGTATGACTTCTTCTTCGTCTTCCTTTTTTTTTTCGTCTAATTAATTTTATCAATGTATCCATTTGGGTCTGCAAATGTGCTAATAATTTTTCAGCTTTTGGAACTGAATATTCCTCCTATTTTTGGCTGTCAGATATTTGTTTACTTTAATGTTTCTATTTTCGCTGAATTTGATGACTCTTAGAACAATTTTCACCAAAGGTTCAAAACGAATCACCATTGACATACCATATGTCTGTAATGAGCTAAATATTCAAAATTGTCATATGGTATTGGCCTATTGGGTTATTCGCAGTCAAATGAAGCATTTTCTGTGATGATATTCAGAGAGCTGACATTAGCTGAAATCCAGGTCGTATATTGATCCCAGAGGCCAAGGTGAAAGTAGAATGAACATGAGGTCAAGAAGCCCCGATCCGGGTCGAGATGGCCGACCAGCCCAACATCACCTCTTCATCATCAATTGTCTGCAGTGAGTATCGAGTCTCCTACAGGGAGAAAGGAAGAAGGGAAATCTGTGTGTCATAAGTTGCCTCTTCCACCAGGTTCTCCCACTAGTCCCTCTGCTTCCTTTCCAAGCAGTAGCAGCACAAGAGCTTGTGTAGTGAGTGAAACTACACCTTGTACTCTATCAAAATGGCGAAGAGGTAGACTCTTAGGGAGGGGAACTTTTGGACATGTTTACCTTGGATTTAATAGGTAGGACTTGCATCTTGTATCGATTAATCATCACATGCTGTGAGTCATAAAGTCATTTAGATTTACCGATCACAGAAATTAGCTGTTGTGATGCATTCATTGTATTAGTTCTGCTAGTATGCAAGATCGTCAGTATGTTTTTAGCTTTTTCCCATTGTACTTCTCTGAGTATTGTGCATTCATGATCGACAGTTAAAGTGGACAGATTTGTGCAATAAAAGAAGTCAGGCTCGTATCTGATGATCAGACATCAAAAGAAAGCCTAAAGCAACTGAACCATGTAATAGTTTTGTCTGATTCTCACTGATTAATGATACATAATCTTTGTTCAGATTTCACATTCTGTTGTTTCTACCAGTTGAGATTGAGATCATTTACAAGTTGCCAAATTTGAGTGCCTGGTTTTCTAATTCTTTTTAATATCAACAGGAGATTAATTTGCTGAGTCAGCTATCTCATCCAAACATTGTTAGATACCATGGAAGCGATCTGGTATGGTTTTTTTATTCTGCTTTACAATGCATGACAAGCAAATGATCAATTGCATTATGAATTGAAAAGAAAGGGGAGTGGAGAATGACAATTGGAATCCTTCTCCAAATACCAGTTTATTGTACTTGCTTCGTATAAACCTAATTGCCATTTTTCAGGGTGAAGAAGCACTCTCAGTTTACTTGGAATATGTCTCTGGTGGTTCAATCCACAAATTGCTTCAAGAATATGGTGCCTTCAAGGAACCTGTTATTCAAAACTATACAAGACAAATTCTTTCCGGGCTTTCTTACTTGCATGGAAGAAATACAGTGCACAAGTACTAGGATAATTAGTTGTCTGTAGTGTGGAAATTTGGCATCAACTTTCTTATGTTTTAAAGCTGTGGGTTTTATGTTTCAGGGACATAAAAGGGGCAAACATATTAGTAGATCCTACTGGTGAAATCAAGTTGGCAGACTTCAGCATGGCAAAACATGTATGTTACCTTATCTCATCTTAGGGATGATCGGGTTAATTCTAGAATATTGAAGCTTAAGTATCTCTGGAAAATAGGTGTTGACCAAGAATAATAAGTATCTACTAAATGATACTTTGATGCGATGCTGGTTTTGGCTGAAAAGAAACAGAGATTAAAATGAAACTGTATTTTGAATATATCATCCTTTAGAGAATCACTTGAACACCTATTGAATTCTTACATTTACAGAATTTACTGTAGTCTTGAGACGGAAAATCTAGACTTTGGTGCAAATCTAACACATAAGAAACCTGTGAATGAATAATGAAAACTTATGTAAAGACTGACATAAATTAATTAATCGAAATCTTATAAAATTGACAAGGTCCAGTGATATTGTCTCCCTACTTTAGTTTATCCCTAGTCAATGAGGAAAGCAGGCCGCTTATTGTTATTTTTCTTTCTGAACCAGATAACAGCTTGTGGTGCAATGCTTTCATTCAAGGGAAGTCCTTACTGGATGGCACCTGAGGTATTGTTTTCCACTCCCGTTCAGTTATATGATCACAGAATCACTTTTTTCACATTTTAAACTCGTTAACTTCTATTTCATTGCTAGTTGCTTTCCCCATTTAGTTGCTCCAGTTCTCCAAGGTATGGTCACTTATGTGTATATTTTATGATTTCAGGTTGTAATGAATACAAATGGCTACAACCTTGCCGTGGATATCTGGAGTTTGGGTTGCACTATGCTTGAAATGGCAACATCAAAACCACCATGGCATCAGTATGAAGGGGTTCGACTTGTTATCTTTTAACATTTCTAAGACAATGTCTTTTTCTGACTAGCTCTGAACTGTTTTAGAATTAGGATTATTCCTTCTGTTATTTTTCTAAATTCAACAGGTGGCTGCAATATTTAAAAGAGAAAATCGCCTCAGTGACCAAAAAAAAGTTATAATATACGATTTTAACCAACTTTTTTTGGATTTGCCAAAATGACCAACAAAATCGCAACGCGAAATAAAAATCGCAACGCGATCCCCAGAATCGCAAATCAGTTTCCAGAATCGCAAATCAGTTTCCAAAATCGCAACGCGATTCTTGAAAATCGCGATGCGATAGTACAAATTCGCATTGCGATTTTCCAAAATCGCAACGCGAATATGAAAATCGCAACGCGAACACATAAATCGCAACGCGTATCCGTAAATCGCAACGTGTATCCGTAAATCGCAACGCGTATGGGTAAATCGCAATGCGTATCCGTATATCGCAACGCGTATCCGTAAATCGCAACGATAATACATAAAATCGCAACGCGTATCCGTAAATCGCAACGCGATATTTAAAGCGCCATTATAATCGCTACGCGTATTTTATTTTCAAATTACAAAAAGAATATTAAGACAAATCCGTAATCGCAACTCATAACCTAAACCTAAAATCACAACTCAGTCCCATCTCCATCTCTCACTCTCTACGGCGAAGAAATCCGTCCCCATCTCCGAAGATTTCCGTCCCCATCTCCGGCGAAATCCCTCACAACCATTCACGGTCAGAAATCCCTCACAATATTCAGAAATGGAAATCAACCTCCGAGGGTTAGTTTTTTTAATTATTTTATTTTGAAATGTTTGCATTATTGTAGGTTTTTCATATTGAAACTGATGATAAGTTTACTGGTCATTTCAATAATAGATTAACCATTTCACTTAGATTTCATTTCGCGTTACGATTCTGTCGTTGCGATTTTCATTTCGCGTTGCTATTCTCTCGTTGCGATTTTCAAGTTAGTATTTGTCTTTGTCTTTGTTCTGTCTTTTGGTTGAAGTAATGCAATCCATTCAAGTTTCAATTTGCAGAAGAGTCGCAACGAGATAAATGAAAATCGCAACGAGAGAATGACTGTCGCAACGAGAGAATCGCAACGCGAAATGGAAATCGCAACGAGAGAATCGCAACGCGAAACCAAAATCGCATTGCGATTTTCATTTCGCGTTGCGATTCTCTCGTTGCGATTTTCATTTCGCGTTGCGATTCTCTCGTTGCGATTGTCATCTCGCGTTGCGATTCTCTCGTTGCGATTTTCATTTCAACCAAAAGACAAAACAGTGTTGCAAATTTTAGTTTAAGAATAAACTACTACTTTTTATGTTTATTGTTTTTGGTATATCTTCACAGTGTAGTTTTTGGTATATCTAACTTGGTATGTTTATTGTTTTTGTAGAAATTTTTTTCGGCTCATTGACCTTGAGAAATAAAGTCAGCCTGGCCACTACAATTGCAAAGAAGCTTTCAACTGCTCAAAGACAATTGTTTGAGGAAACCTGCTTCGGCCATGGCTGAGAGTACAGCATCCGGGTGGAGATGCTAATTTGACCCATTTGTGGCTTCAGACCATGACATCAAATCTACCCGACAGTATACAACGTGGTGAGGAAGAGATATGGTTTCATTTTCCACCAGCGTATACTTGCTTTGGGCGGAAGGAGTTCTTTTAATCACTGGTCTACGATTCGGACACGATGATGTAGGCCGGTACACTCGTCATATCGCCCGCCCATCATGGTTATCCCGGGTTTTTCCGGATGAGTCAATGGAGAAGCCGAACCTACATGTCGACGACCTGAAGAAATTATTTAATAAGAAAGCTGGTTTCACTCGGATGGAAGACGTCGATGTTGTCCGAGTATGCCTTCTACTACTTGTGTATGCCGGCTTTTTAGGCAGAGAGGCCAGACAACCTATTCATCGGGAGCTAATAATATTGGTAGAGGACCTAAATGCATGGAATCTGTTTCCGTGGGGTTCGTATATATGGAAAGCTACCTGGACTAAGTTGTCGTCTGCCTTTGATGACCGCAAAAGTTTGCGGGGCGATGGGTCCAAATACACTTTGTCAGGCTTTGTTTGGGCCTTTAAGGTAAGATTTCTATATAATGTTTCTAAAATTATAATTAATTATTTAACAATTACTAATTTTGTTATTATATTGTTTGTAGATTTGGATATTCGAGGCTTTCCCCAGCATGCGTACATATGCAATAAAAACGTCAAATGATATTCCCAGGGCTATTTCCTGGAAGAGGAAAACTCTGTTGGATTGGAAGACTTAATACCATATGCCACAATAAATAAGTAAGTTAACACAAATACTTTCATATAATATAAACAAGTTATTAATAGTAGACGTTTAACTTTGTTTGAGTTTTTATATTTTAGGAGGCCAACATTCCATTACAAAGACTGACACCCACGGAGGAAGAGCTTGCCACTGATTGGTGGCAAGCTAGTCAGAATTTTTTTGATGGCACGGATGATGAGCAGCATCCACTTCCTCCAATTCGAGAGCCATCACCTCACCTAGAGCCATCACCCGATCGACCCGACTATACATCTCTAGAACGAGAGCCATCACCTATCCCGTCACATCATCGAGCCTCTTCTCCACCATCACCTCATGATAGGCGACCGGCAAAGATGCCACGACTCCTATCTCCCTGTTCTCCACCTCCACCTCAACGGGATGAGTCAAGGGAGTTACGTGATGAGGTCAATGCCTTGCGTGAGGAGATCGGTACTCTACGCGATAACGATGGTGCATGGCGTGTGGAGGTGTCAACTTTACGTGGTGAGGTTGCCGCTCTACGTGAGATGATAGTATCGTTGCAGAATGAGGTTCATACTCTACGCAACGAGGTAAGTTTAAGATTTTCCATATTAACTTAATGATAAATTTACTCGTAATTTCACTTAGATTAGCCATTTCACTTAGATTGCTTAGTAAATTTGTTCGGTTGCTGCCAATTCTGCTAAACTGTGTATTCTTTAACACTGTGAAATAGTATTGTCTTTGTTTTGTCTTTTGGTTGAAAGTAAATTGTTCGGTTGCTGCCAATTCTGCTAAACTGTGTATTCTTTAACACTGTGAAATATATTTGTCTTTGTTTTGTCTTTTGGTTGAAAGTAAATTTGTTCGGTTGCTGCCAATTCTGCTAAACTGTGTATTCTTTAACACTGTGAAATAGTATTTGTCTTTGTTTTGTCTTTTGGTTGAAAGTAAATTTATCCATTCAAGTTTCAATTTGCAGAAGAAGAAATAGTTTACTTTCGCAACACGAAACTTAAAATCGCAACGCGAAACCAAAATCGCAACGCGAAATGAAAATCGCAACGACAGAATCGCAACGCGAAACCAAAATCGCAACGACAAGATCGCAACGCGAAACCAAAATCGCATTGCGATTTTCATTTCGCGTTGCGATTCTTTCGTTGCGATTTTCATTTCGCATTGCGATTCTGTCGTTGCGATTTTCATTTCGCGTTGCGATTTTGGTTTCGCGTTGCGATTTTAAGTTTCGTGTTGCGAAAGTAAACTATTTCTTCTTCTGCAAATTGAAACTTGAATGGATTGCATTACTTCAACCAATAGACAAAACAAAGACAAATACTAACTTCAGGGTATTAGTTTGAAACATATTTTTCTTTGTTATCTGATGCATTTTGTGAACTATGATAGAATAATGACTTGGGTGAATACAATGCAAGTTTGAAACATATTTGTTTTTGTTTTCACTGTTTAAAGATCATGTCTGTTTATTTACTGATTTTTGTATTTAATTATTTAGCGGCCCGATAGAGTGGATGCTTTACGTCGGGTTATGCTTGCACGACGGAGTTCACGCATCAGACAGCGTGCACGTGCTATTAAGTCTCCGTACACCCAATAGTGCGAAGACACCGCAAGAAGAAGCCCGACTCGCCTGTCATCCCTCAAGAGTCCACTCCTATCGTTGAAGAGGCCCCCCATATCATTCCTCGAGAGTCCCCTCCCACGTTCAAGAGGCAACTGTCATCGTTGAAGAGGTCCCTCCCACCATTCCAGAGTCTGATTCACATGGGGTAATATATCGAAGTATTGAGAAACCCCCACCGGTTCCGGACATGATGGATGAGAGTTGGCTCTCGTAGAGTTACCGGCCAGTACCATACCGGTATCTGAAGAGGAGAGGGAACAACTACCGGACACAATTTTGGATAACACCCTTTGGGCTAAGACCGCAGTTAATTTTTATCTACATGAGCGGAGCAAGGGGTGTTTCACTGACATATGCAAGCTCACCGATGATATCTTTTTGTTGCTTGAACGGCCTTGGTGGGGCGTATTATTAGGGTCGAAGACAATGGCTATTTCGATGGGGGGGTAAGTCTTATATTTTTTTATATTTCAATTTGATTAATTTTTTTTTTAAATTTATGTAAGTCACTAATATATGTCTTTTTTGTAAAACAGCATATCGATGCGTGGGTGACACGTCTTCTAATAATAAGAAAACTTAAGAAAAATAAAAATATACGATATACAATAATGCCGACGTCTTTTCACGCCGTTCACTTGAAGAATGCACGAGATGAATCATTTGATTTGGGCAATGGACAAGCTAAACTTTATCCTGCATGGTGGGAGGTCGATAAGGTTAGTATTTATTTTAGATTGAGTTTAAAGGTTTTATGAAATAAGTGCGCAAATGAATGAATTATTACTTATGATTGCAGGTGTTTATCCCTGTTTTGGAACGTAAACATTGGATTCTCGTCGAGCTTCAGCTCCCATCCCTTAAGACAATAGTGTATGACAGCATGATAAATTACATATCATTGGCTGATTTAAGAGATGTTATTAAGGGATGGAGCTCTCATTTGGCTAAATTCTTGGATGCGATCAATTATTGGACTCGTTCTGGAAACAAGAAGCCAAAGAAGCTCAATATTACAGTTATTAGAGACGAGACCGCGCCACAACAAACGAGCGGAGCCAGAGGAGATTGTGGTCCTCTCGTATGCTTGGCGTTGGAGCGTTTGACGACGGGAAGCATCAAGTATCTACCTCCCACCGATAGAGATAAAGCTGCAGTAGGCTTGTGGTTTCGGCATTATATGGCTAAATCGATATATACGAGACGCTGCCTACCTGCATCCGCGTTATAAAAATGTCCATAAACAATTGGTAAGTTTATATACTTATAAATGAAAATGTTTGGTTAAGTAACTAGAATTCAATAATTTGCGTAGAAAGTGTTGTTTGAACAAATGTTTGGTTTCTGCAGGTTAATCTCAGAAGTGAACTGCGTGAAAATGATGTCGAGCTGCAAAAGTTGATTCAATAGTTTAATTGATTGTTTTTTGATTGTTTAATTGATTTGTAAAAGTTGATTCAATAGTAGATGATCGGAAATAAGAATTATTGCTTATTTTTTGATTGTTTAATTGATTTGTAAAAGATGATTTGTAAAAGTTGATTTGTGTAATTGATGCGAACAGAATTCTTATTTGTGCTTGTTTAATTGATTGAAATGTAATGGTTGATTTTGTTGATTTCGCATTGCGTTTATAATTTCGCATTGCGATTATCTCGTTGCGATTTTCATTTCGCATTGCGATTTACATTTCGCATTGCGATTCTTTCGTTGCGATTTTCATTTCGCATTGCGATTTTCATTTCGCATTGCGATTTTCATTTCGTATTGCGATTTTAATTTCGCATTGCGATTATGTCGGTTCGATTTTCATTTCGCATTGCGATTTTCATTTCGCATTGCGATTCTCTCGTTGCGATTTTCATTTCGCATTGCGATTTTCATTTCGCATTACGATTCTCTCGTTGCGATTTTCATTTCCGCATTGCGATTTTCATGTTGGGATTTTCATTTCGCGTTGCGATTGTATTTTCCGTGTTGCGATAGTCAAATGCATGCCTAATAGTGATAACAACTGAATAACAAGAGTTGGTTAAGTCAAAATGGTTGGCCTGAGTCATTAATTCAACTGAAAATGTTAAAAGTTCACACATAAAATCACATAATACAACGTTTGCATATGATTTTGATGGCAACGTTTACATAATACACATAAAATGTTAAATGTTAAAACGTTTACATAATACAACTGAATAACAACGTTTACATAATACAAAGTTCACACCATATGAGCTTGGATTTTGATGAGGATCCATATTTTGGTAGAGGAAAAGATGATTTTGATGGCACTGGTGATCCACATGTCAACCTTGTATGACCACTTTCCTTGCACCGACTACATGTCGATCTCTTCTTCTCTTGTAGTACCACTGTTGAATAGAGGCTCGAAAAAACTCCATTAACATAGTAATGGGTAATTTCCGGGAATGACGACTTAGAGCGTTGATTGATTCTGCACTATTAGACGTCATGAAACCATATCTTGCTCCAAGTTGATGTACTCTTGACCATCTTTCAAACCCGACATCTTTTAGTGTTTGAGCACACTGAGGCAAAACGTCTTAAACAATTTATATGCTTATTGAAATCCACTTCCCGATAAGCTTTACAGCCTTCCAGTATGTCCATTGTGCTTTTTATACCAGCAGACCTTGATTTTAGATTTCTATACAAATGAACACCACAAAGTCCATGAAAAGCATCTGGGAAACACCTTCTAACAGCGTTGTCAATTGAGTTGCCCTATCGGATATGATTGTCAGATTGCTAATAGGACCTATGCAATCCCTAAGATGCCCCATAAACCATGTCCATGAATCAGAGGTTTCAGATTTGCCAACCCGTAAGCTATTGGCAATATCCCATTGTTAGCATCCATGGTTACTGCTAATAAGTTTACTCCAAGGTATCGACCTTTCAAATGTGCTCCGTCAACTATAATAACTGGGCGCATGCAAGTAATAAACGAACGAATCTACAAAATAATATACACAAGAAATATAATCATTTAAATGTGAAATGCATGTAACTAACAAAAATGAGTCAACAAATTATATTGATTTACTAACCGTAGCACCAATGGCGATAAACAGCAACTCAAAGCGTCCATCTCTATCTGTTTTGATATGAGTTACCGACCAGGATTTTTCAGCTTTAAATTGTGACAATAAGCCGGCAGTTGGGCAAACGATGCTTCTGGCGACCCCCTCAACAATTCCAAGGCATAACATTTGGCTCTCCAAGCTTGAGATATGATATACTAATCTTGAACCGAGCATTCATGTCAGTCATAATTTCATGTCCCCGATATACCCTGCCATTCAAAAACATTAACTCAGCCAGAAAACCACCCAACACCTTTTGTTTGCCTGTCTATGGTGAGGAAAAAACTTGGGTTCTTGAACATGTATGTTTATCAATAAAAGTCCTAACTTGAACATTTTGCAATCTTTTATTCTCTTTGCAATCATACGCCACGTACAGTTTTTGTCAATCATACACCTTGTTTCGAAACGATCTTTGCTTGATTTGTTAACTTTTAGTTGATAGCCATCTTCCACACATTTCGTATATAAAGCTATCTTCAAGTCTTCCTTTGTATCAAAACAATCATCTTTCTTGATACGAATAACTTTTGTGTAACAATCAACTGCTTTCTTTATCACTCTTCTTCCGGTATCTGAAGTAATTCTGGCATATTCCAGTTATACGCCGTGGCATTTTCTTTCTTCGGGGACTTTTTTCTTCTTTTTCTTCTTCAGGATTATATGAATTACAGAATGGATGTTCAACATGTCATTCACAGTCGTAACTTCCTCCTCATTATCATCAACATTACATTCTTCGGCAACGGCTGTTTCATCATCAAAATTCGGGTATTGACCAATATCAATATCATTACACGCATGGTCTGTTTCTTCTTCTGAAACATCATCAAATCCGTGTATTGACCAATATCAAAGTCCGGATATTGACCAAGACCAAATTTCGAATACTGACTAGTACTCACAATTTTTCTGTTGGCTCATCATCGTCTAACTGGTCAATACGAAAATCGGAATTTGGTGCTGAAAGTTGATTGGATTTGGATTAGAGAAAGGTTGTGGGTTTTGAGAAAAACTTAGTTGATTACTACCGCTACTGACCCAACAATACTACTTCTAGGTTCAACAACATACAATGTAACATCATCTTGTGAAACACTAATGTAAGCAATGAATCGTTCAACATCTTCATTGTCGGTTAACAAATAAACTTTACCATTTCTCTGATAAGATAGCCTAAATCCACTTAGGGGCTCTAAATTCAATTTATTTGAAACACGTAGCATTAGAGTTTCATAAGTTAACTTTTGTAAAGACAATTTTAGTTGAAGATTTATGGGTAAAGGCATATTGTAAAACACCATTAACATTATCCCATGACCTCCAAAACACAAATCTATCCAACATGATCAACATTAGATGATTTCATGGTTGTAACTAAACAAACGAGATGCGAAACTAAGACCTGTTGCCGGATGGGGAAGGATGTCGTTGGATATAGGAACGGATGTCGCCGGAGAGAGTGATAGATGGAGATGGAATGAGTTGCGATTTAGGATTTAGTTTATGATTTCAGTGTTATATACCCAAATTTCAGTGTTGTGATTTACAGATTCTCGTTGCGATTTTACGATTATCGTTGCGATTTACAGATTCTCGTTGCGATTTACGGATTATCGTTGCGATTTACGGATACGCGTTGCGATTTACGGATTATCGTTGCGATTTACGGATACGCGTTGCGATTTACGGATACGCATTGCGATTTACGGATACGCGTTGCGATTTACGGATACACGTTGCGGTTTACGGATACGCGTTGCGATTTACGGATACGCGTTGCGATATACGGATACGCATTGCGATTTACCCATACGCGTTGCGATTTACGGATACACGTTGCGATTTACGGATACGCGTTGCGATTTATGTGTTCGCGTTGCGATTTTCATATTCGCGTTGCGATTATGGAAAATCGCAATGCGAATTTGTACTATCGCATCGCGATTTTCAAGAATCGCGTTGCGATTCTGGAAACTGATTTGCGATTCTGGGGATCGCGTTGCGATTTTTATTTCGCGTTGCGATTTTGTTGGTCATTTTGGCAAATCCAAAAAAAGTTGGTTAAAATCGTATATTATAACTTTTTTTTGGTCACTGAGGCGATTTTCTCTATTTAAAATAGGAAACAGTAAAGATATGCCAGAGATTCCTAATCACCTTTCTAGTGAAGCCAAAAGTTTCATAAGACTTTGCTTGCAAAGGGAACCATCAGCGCGTCCTACAGCCTTGCAACTACTAGATCACCCTTTCATTCGTGATCAATCAACAACAAGAGTTGCTAACATCAACATAACAAAGGATGCATTTCCCTACACTTTTGATGGAAGCCGCACTCCGGTAAATATTTTAAGATGCTTGTTTCTCTTCTTTTTCTGATGGTTTTATCACTCTGATTGCATTACACTGTATCTTCTCTACATCCTAAACTGATTGGTACATCAACCAATCACTTTGTAAGTAATGGTTCTAAAACATACGTCAATTTTCAATGCAATTTCTTTGCTAGTTTTAGCCTCTTTGCTAGTTGCAGCCATACCTTTATCTTGTTTCTTTAACTATTTAAGCTTTTATATATGAATGAACATATGTGCTTGAAGTTTGTTTATCAGTAACTAAAGCTGAATTTAAGCTAATCTCTGTTGTTATTTTTAACTTTCTGAGCAGCCCGTATTAGAAATGCAGTCCAGTAGAAATAATATCCTCTCATTTGATGGAGATTATGAGACAAGGGGAATGACTACAACTTCAAGAGCTTTAAGGAGTCCCAGGTACTAATGATATTTTTTTTTTATTTCTGCACTCAAAATGTATGGCATGTAGTTCTGAACCAAATTGCCTGTCACGTATTAATATGCACAGAGATAATGCAAGAGCAATCACATCTTTGCCTGTGTCTCCTTGCTCAAGTCCATTAAGACACGGTACGGCCCACAAGAGTTATTTTCTTTCTCCTCCTCATCCGGCTTATCAGTTTGTAGGACAGAGCAGTTACAACTTGGGTGATTTCTCTGCAAATGCTTCGAGGCCAAATCCAAAATACACTCTGGATCCTTGGCGTCAAACTTCACTACCAAATGTTCAAAGTTCAAACACCGGGCACCCCTCCAAGAACGAGACCTATTTGAGATATTGTAAATAGAGACGGGATGAAATGTCCTTTTCCACTCCATCTCAAAGTCCAACGAAAGCAAGTATATTTAATTGATTGGAGGATCCTCCCTCCCTATTCTGGTAGATTCAGCTAAGTCATTCTTCTATCCAATTAGAAAAGTGATTGTGATTTTAGTTTAAGGCTACTCGAAATGAGAATATTTGGGGACAATGGGAGTTTTGTTGCAGGAGGAAGATAAACACTGCTCCGATACTTCGATCTTGTAACATGCTCACATTGATTTTTGTATATGGAAGGTGGTCACTCAGTCTATTAACATTATTGTTGTTGTATACTAGCTCATTACGTACGTAATACCATCACTTTGTCATCAATTGGTTGAACGGGCAAATTATGTTATGTGATATCGTTTCATTTTAGCCAGAGACTGGTGCTTCATTTTTAATCTGGGAGAAGGGCGACCCCCATTCCCATTGCACTTTTGGATGAAGCTTGTGTAGGGACGGACAGATGAAAGATTTTATATTAGGGAGCGAACTTATAAAATTTTAGGCGACGAAAATAGATAATTAATAGAAAATACAAAAAGCTGGACTAAGAGGGACTCCTAAAAATTTAAAATTGCCATATATAATCTTAATATGCTTGTCCCTAATCATAAATTCATTGGAAGATGGCTAAAACTTATAAAACAGATAAGGCTGAAATCATTTAAATTTACCTCGTGCATGTATCAACAATCATATTTTCAGATATAAAAAATTGCCTACAAAAATCGAGTGAACAGGGTCGGATCACGTCTGCAATTATTACATTGGGACCGTACATGGTGGTCATTTTGGGGTTATAGATTGACCAAAGTCATTGAATCTGGCACTGAAAAAAAATCATTTTATGCAACAACATATAGCAAAGTTTGTACTTGAGCTACAAGGGGTTCATTCCATGTATCAGTAATATGCGCCAATCTGCAAAGCGTTGACGACCAATAAAATAGAATGATGGTATTAGTGGATGGGCGCTGGTAGCTCATCCGTCCGGACGAATGGCTCCGGAACGCTTTATAAGTCCGTATTCCCTTCCAACATCTACAAGAATAACTGTCATCTGATTATTAATAATTTAGCAATAAAAGAACAATTCAAAAGATTAGTAGAAAATTATTTTTTATAATTTAATGATTAAAACGAGATGACCCTTAAAATTTGATCACTAATGTGTAGTTTAACCTAAGTTGTATTCATATATATATATATACAGTAACCATGGTACTAAATTAAAAGCAGCTTTTGGGAATATACGGGCAATTAATCCTATATATTAACCATGGTATTTAGGGGAAACGCGGTTTTGCAAACGCAAGTGCGAGTGGTTGGTAACCCACCACTAAAGAGTAAAGAGAAGGTTTCCTTTTTTATTCACGAGAGACGATGGCATGGCATGCACGTTCTCACACCTTTGAAAGAAACCATTGGAATTGCTCTCCATCTGATCTAATCCAACACCACCAGAGATCAACCAATCACAGCTACGCAGTCATCATTAAAACGGCATGATACGATGGACCCTCTTATTCCTATTCTATTTTTAATAACATTAGGCTGAATTTCTCTTATTCAATTAACAAGTAACGCATAGAGATAGTCATCGAATCCGAATCTGATGAGTTTTAATTTGGCCCGGTCCGTTCAAATTGGATAGAGTTTTTTAATATGATGTTCTGGTTGGGTTTAGATTTATAATGAAAATATTTGACTCAAAAATATATATATAATTTTACATTATATATTTATGAATAATTACAATAATATCCGTCTATATATATATATATATTTCAATTAAGTTAATGTTTTTATGGAATAAAAATAGTATTTTCTATTATTCGGGTCGAATCAGGTTTTTAAGTTATATATCGGGTCGGGTCGGGTGAAATATTGTTTTGGTCGGATTAGATCTTGAGTGGAAGATTTCTTGTTCTCAGATCGGGTCAAGTGAACCAAAAACCCGACTCATGCCCATCCCTAACCTATGCACTTTGTAGACAATTGTTACTTAAATCCAAAACTTTTAAAAAGAATGTTATTCTTTCTTACCACTAAAATTACTTAACGTGTTTTATTCATATTTCATCTCATTTATTATATTTTATTAATTATAATTCAAGAATTTTATTTTTATTAATATGAGGATTATTATAATATTTTTTTCAAAAAAAACTCTTAATTATTTAATAATAAATACTCTTAATCATTATAAACTTTGTATTCAAATTCAATATCAATAAGAATCGTTTGATTCATACTTTAATTAAATGATAATAATCTAAATAATAAATATGTCAGTGGAATAATCCTATCCCTTGACATGCGGGACCCATCGCAATTGTCGGTTCATAATCCTCTACAGTCTTCTTCCTTTCACTGCACTCCCTTTTTATTTTATTTTCTATAATTTTCATTAGATTTTTTTAAGTCGGTGCGTTTCGATCCCCGTATGGCGATTGGTTGACACTGGATCTAAAAATGTCCACTCACAAATCGACACCCATTACTTACAAATTTACCCTTTCCAGTTCATTACATAACAACTCTTCAAAAAAAAATATATATAATAACTTACTGAATTACTAAAATATCCTTTAGCGTTCTTTCTAGATATCAATCATCTAATTATCTTGCCCTTAAAAAGTTATCTAGTAATAGTTTTAATATTTAATTACACTCTATATATAGTCTTCAATTATCATTTTTAAAAATGAATTACACTTTCATTTTAATTTATACTGTTCAGATTTATAAATAAAAACATTTATATTTTATAATATTTCATACTTTAACACAAGACATTGGTTTTATTATCATACTAAAAATTAAATAAAAATTTGCGTAGACAAATTTCAATAAAATATTAAATTACATTTATATTATTCTTGAATTATATGTCATTTTAATTTAAAATATATTTATTATTATATTTCAACTAAATATACAATTTATATAGATAAATTTAATAATATTAAATTATACTTTATATTCACATTAAATTACAATTCTATTATACTTTAAAACTTAAAGTTTATGAATTATAAATATTTTATTATTTTATTTAAAATAAGAAAACATCCATTATTATGTGAAAATTATAAACATATTTTTTTCATATAGATGCCCATTGTATTTCTTTTGAAAGCTAAATAGGGAGTTGTTGTCCAGGCCAAGGAATGACACGAACGACGATTAAGGGTGGACTAATGAGTGGACGAGTCGATGATTAAGTGATCGTTTGATGATAATAATAACGACTGATAATGATAATAAGAGGTTTAGAAATAAATTTTAGAGTTTTTTTTAGATGTTACTTAAATTATGAAGGGTTTTAAAAAATTAATAATTTTGTTTTCTAAATAAAATTTTATAGAATTTACATTTGTCACATTTGAGTAGTTGAATTTTTTAACAATAGTAACAAACAAGACACTTAAAATAATAATAATAAAATATTAGACACATTTCAAGTAAAAAGTTTTAAGTACCTAAAGTGTATAATATATATAGTTTAGACACTTATTAAATAATAATAATAATAATAATAATAAAAGTAGGGTTATAAAATTTATAGAATAATGGAATGGCAAAATTGTCATTACTGAGTAAATATTTAAATAAATACTTATTTACAAAACTACCCTTATATTGATAATATTACTAATATACTATAATCCCACTGATACCGCGGCTTTTGGCTTACCCTTGCCGTCAATTTCGCTCCTTGCTCTGTTGAGCGATACCCTCCATTTTTATCTCATATTTTTGTTCTCCTTATATAAACTCTAAATTCTTGGTCCCTTTTATTAGCTTAGACCATCCAAAAAGGAAACACCAAGGGATTTTTCTTTTGGCTTCTAATTTCCAGCGACAGCTATAAGCAGGAATTATTTGATTAATGCAGGAACAATGAAGCATTAGCGATAATTGAAGCTTTTCTCTTTCAGATCTCTGTCAGTTTTGTTTCTGGTAAATTTAATTTTCTTTGTTCGTAGCAGATCTAATTCTTATTTTTGCTTCCTTATTTCTTTTATTATCTATCCAGGGCACTGTTTTGACTAGATCTGAATGTTTCTGACTATAATTTTGAAAATATCTAGTTACATACCTCGTTTGTTTTCTATATGCTTCTGTTTGTTAGTTTTCTTCAATTTTTTCAGATCTTATTGGATCTGCATTTTTCTTTAGTGAATCATTAGTTTTTTCTTTGAAATATAGTTCTGATTCTTCTTTTATATAAATTTCAGGTGAGAAAATTTTGAAGTATTGTTTGGAAAAGGAGGAAATAAATAGTGATAATGGCATTAGGAAAATATAGTAGAGTAGATAATAATATTAGTAGGAAGTCTTCGGGTTATTGTTCCACTGTCACCGTTGTGGTTTTCGTGGGGTTATGTTTAGTTGGGATATGGATGATGACTTCGTCCTCAGCTGTGTCTATTGGAGACGATCCGGCTCAGGAAAAGAAAACTCAGCTCGAAGATAAGGTTACACCAGTAATCAGTGATAACAGTGACAGCAGCAACACCCCACAGTTTGAAGATAACCCTGGGGATTTGCCCGAGGATGCCACCAAAGGGGACACTAATGTAGTCTGGCTGAAAATGATGGCAAGGAAACTTAAACACACAGGAAAATCAGGATAATGTTGAAGAAACTAAATTGGAGGAGACTAAGAAGGATGATGAACAATCAGGTGCTGAAGGTGGAGAGAAAAGCGGTGACAGTGGTGAGAACTCTGGTGAAGAAGGGGATTCTCAAGAGAATTCTGATGACAAGAAGTCTGATTCAGAAGAGAGCAATGAGAAATCCGACTCTGATGAGAATGGCAATAAATCTGATTCTGATGATGGTGAAAAGAAGCAAGATGAAAGCTCCTCTGAAACTAATGGAGATCAGGCTGATGGTCAGATAGAGAAGGTTGAGCAAAATGATAATGAGTTGGATAAAAGCTCTGATGAGGTGAAAGATGATGGTCAGAGAAAAACCAGAGCTCGAATGAAGTTTTCCCCATCTGGAGCTCAATCTGAACTTTTGAATGAAACCATAACTCAAACCGGATCGTTTTCTACTCAGGCAACAGAATCTAAGGCTGAAAAAGAGGCTCAGTTATCATCCAAGAAATAATTGGAAGGTGTGCAATTCCACTGCTGGGCCTGATTATATCCCATGCCTTGACAATTGGGAAGCAATCAGCATCTCCCATCTACCAAACACTATGAACATCGAGAGAGGCACTGTCCAGAAGAACCACCAACCTGCCTTGTCCCTCTTCCTGAAGGATATAAACGTTCAATCGAGTGGCCAAAAAGCAGGGAGAAGGTATGTTA